TGTCCACCSTGCTGGTGCTGGCGGTCACGGCGCTCTACACCATCGCAGGTGGGTGGCCCAGCCTCCTGTTTCCTTCTTTCACTGAAACATGCCACTCACCCTTCTGCTTTTATTTTATTATTCTTATTTTTGCCCCTGGAAGGTTTTTCAAGGGTTTGTGCCAATGGGGTTGATGTCCCTGCCCCATCCAGCCAGTATCTGAGCAGCTTTCTGGTCATGATGGCTCAACCCACAACCTCTCCTTTGTCACTGCACTTCTTCATTTGTGACAACTCCTCCTCCACCATGGCTTAAACCCTTTCCAGTGTGTGTCCCTATTTGTACCAGCAACAGTCAGGGCTTCTCCTCTTACAGGATTATTGTTGTGGAATCTACAACCTGAGAGCCCTTGACCCAGCTCCTTTCCCTGCCTCTTGCCCTGCCTGCTGCCCTCCCTTCACAAAGCTTTCAGGAATATTCCTTGGCCGTGTTTCCCCGTTGTGGGACCGGCTGTTTTTGTGCAGGGCCAGCCCCTATGGTGGCTCTGTGATCCAGAGGTGATCAGGGTTTGGATCTGGAGTTGGAAGTTGTGGGTTTCTGGCTGCCAGCCCCACTCTCAGACCGTGGGGCTGTGTATCCCTGCCAGCCCTTTGGGTTATGATTTTGGCTGGGATATTCCCTCCCTTGGCAGTGCTGGTGGAATCACCTTGCAGGGAATTCTCCCTCCTTATCCCATCCCGGCCATCCAAACAGAAAACAGTCTGAGGTGTATCCATAACAGGGTGGATTTTGCAAGGCTCTGGTTTCAAGCAAATCCCATCTCGGGTTTTTCCTGCCCACGAGGCTTGTTGTGATGTGAAGCACCTCGGTGTGAGCTCAGCCAGGTGTGATCATTGCCTCACCCCGATCCCCAGAACATCCCTGCAAACCCCAGGCATGGCTGGGGATGGCTCAGCTCTGACTTCTTGGGATTCAATTCAGTGACTGGACTTGAAACTGGTTCGATTTTGGACCCATTTTTTAAAATTCTGCTGCTTTTTAATGGTTTTTCTCATGTGCTGAGTGATTGATTCTGGCTGGGTAAGCAGCTCTGGGGTTTGCAGCAGGTCTGGAAGGAGAGTTTGGGATGGAAAGGGATAAACACTGGAGGATGGCCAGAGGGGATCCTGCTGAGCACCAGGTGCTGTAAAAATAAAACTGCAGGGTTGGGAGAAGAGCTGGGGAGAACTATGGGGAGACTGGGATTTAGGGGGAGGTGGCATGAAGGTGGGATCCATGTCCTCTCCCAAAGAGCTGGGGCTGGCTGGTGAAGTCCTGATGGTGTGGGGCTGCATCCCTCCCCTCCAGCCATCCCTTGGCTCCCCTTCCCCACCCCGGGGAAGCTGCAGTCCCTGTGGCTCTTGGCTGTGCCCTCCCACCCCATCTGTGAGGCTGCTGTGCCCCACTGGCACCAGACCTGCCCAGGAGCTGTTCCCTCTTCCCACTGCAGCTCCCCCACCACAGTCAGCAGGACAAGGCTGGTGACAGGCACAGGCATGACCCTGCAAGCCTGGCAGRTTTATTGGGATTTCCTGACTGCTCYAAGCCTGAGTCCAACATTCCCAACCCTGTGCCTTGTCCCATGCAGGGGGGCTGGCGCTGTCATCTACACGGATGCACTGCAGACACTCATCATGGTGCTGGGAGCCATCGTGCTGGCAGTGAGAGGTAAGAGCTGGGGCAGCACAGATCCACCCAGGGGGATCCTCTTTCACCAGTGGAAATAAATATTCAGTCTGAGAAATCTGCTGGCCAAGATGCCCAGCAGGCCTCTGATCTGTGGCAATGACCTTGATAAATCTGTGTCCCCCTGTGTCCCCTTCACAGCTGTGTGTGCCATGCCACCAGGGCAGATGCCATGTGGTTGCTGCAGGTGCCACCCCTTGGTGCTCCATGTGGGGCTGTCCCTGCTCTGGTGACACTCCTGTGAGCATTGCCACTCTCTTTGCATCTCGCTCTGAGACTGATCGAGGATTTGACAGCAAAGCAGAGTCCCCAGTTCTGCTCTGGGTGTTTTTGTGGGGTGTCCCCACAGGATTCCCAGAGCCCAGGGATGTGCCTGGCAGAGGGCAGTGCTGGAACCAGGRGTGGGATGGGGATCCCAATGCCCTGCTGCGGGTTGGGGTGAGGGTGGCTCATGCCCAGCCCTTCCTGAGCCCTCAGCACTGTCGTGTCTGCCCAATTCCAGYCTCAGAGCATCCTTGGGAGGCTGGGAGCTGATGGAAGAGCTCTTGGCCCTAAGGAGCAGGAAGCAAGCAGCCCTGTCCCAGCTTCCCAGGCAGGTGTTTAACTAGAAAGGATGGGTTGCAGAGGTGCTCCTGAGAGGATTTCCACCATCTCCTGCGGGAGGCAGGAAGGTAGGAAAGGATCTGAGCCAGACCTGTGGAGGAGGGAGCAGCCCCAGCCTGGTCCTGAGGCTGCTCCCCCAAGCCAAAACAGAGCCTGGGTGCAGCAGGGTGTGTTTACAGAGTCAGATGGAAGGACWGAGATTTGTGGAGAAGGACAGAAGCACTCAACCACCCAGGCAGCAGCACAGAGCTGCCCCAGGCAGAGGAGGACTGTGCCAGTCAGGGCAGATCAGAGCAGTGGCCACAGCCCCTGTGTGAGACAGTGCCTGGACGCTGGGAATGGCTGTCTGGAGCTGTCCTTGGCCGTGGGGCTCTCTGAGGCTCATCTSTGCCAGGTGCAGCTGTGCAGAGGAGCCAGAGCAGGAGGGCAGGCAGGCAGAGCCTGGAAAATCCCCTCTGGCGGCTGCAGAGCCCGGTTTGTTTTGGCTTTGCTGCCTGCAGACGTGGCACGGTGSGTGCAGGAGTGGAGGGTGCTTGGCACAAGGAAGGATCTGGGGTGGCCACAGCACAGGCTGCAGGCTGTGCAGGATTATCCTCAGGACTCAGAGCTGGGAGTGCCCCAGGGGTGTTCGGTTTGCTCAGCCCCTCTCAGGCTCAGCTGATAAAGGGACACTCTCAGTAGGATCCCAGAATGGGTTGGGTTGGAAAGAACCTTAAAGCCCGTCCAGTCCAACCCCAACACCTCCCACTGTCCCAGGGTGCTCCAAGCCCTGTCCAACCTGGCCTTGGACACTGCCAGGGATCCAGGGGCAGCCACAGCTTATCAGGGAAGGATTCCTCCCCAATATCCCCTCTGGCACTTTAAAACACCTTTGCCCAACAGAGACCTTGGTGATGGCTCTGCTTAGCTCGRGCACCACAGATGAGCCAGGCTGGGCCATCCCACCCCCACGGGGATTTAATCCCAGCAGAGCCCGTGGGCTGCATCCCAGCCTCTGAGCTCCTGCTGCCCGGAGGATTTTTCCCTGCCCTTCCTCCTCTCGGCAGGCAGGCGTGGGTGCCGTGACTTGCTGGCGAGCACCTTGGGGAAGGGAGCAGGTCCGCCCCCAGGCGCAAATCTCTGCTTTCAGCACTCGGCCTCTGCCTCTGGAGAGCCTTTGTTGGTGCCCAACGCCCATGCAAAGCTTGGGAGTAGCCGGCGCCTGGATAAACCGAGGGCTGGAGAGGGGCCAGGGATTCTTGCACAAGAGCAGAGCTCACAAATGCTGACTGCCTGTGGAGCAGGGGAGGGTGATTGCAAGGGGGCAGGGGTGGGTGATGCCCTTTGCCAACTCCCCGAAAGCCTCAGGGGTCAGGGGGATGCTCTGGGATGAGGACAGGKCTGTAGGTTGGTGATGGAAACTGGGAGGGCTGCAGGGAAAGAGGGCTGTGCTCGGGCAGGAGAGGACAATGGAAGAGGAGGAACGCTTGGAAATTGGGATTTGCTCAGATTGGCACTTGGTGTTCCCAGTGCCCAGTGCCTGAAATCTGAAATGCTCTTGATTTAGAGTGAGCAGAGCTTGTGGGCATGGTGCTGTGGGAGGGAGGCTGCTCAGGAGCACATTCCCACCCCACACTGCTGCTCAGGAGCACATCCCCACCCCACACTGCTGCTCAGGAGCACATCCCCACCCCACACTGCTGCTCAGGAGCACATTCCCACCCCACACTGCTGTGCTGGAAGGGGCTGAGCTGAGGGTCTGCACTGCAGGGGTGGAAGGGATCCAGGATGTGACAGCAGGGCCAGATGTGGGGAAATCCACCAAAGAATGCTTGTGGGTGTCGCTTTGAGTGTGCCCTCCATGAGGCTCTGGAAGAGCCTCCCCCTCTCCTCTCTGGAGCATCAGCAGCTGCCGTGGGTTTGGGGGTGCCAATGCCCCTCCCTGCTGCGTGGGTGGCCATGGGGRGTGGGGGGAGAGGGGAAGGTGCCTCCCATCCCTCCCTCCCTCCAAAAAGTGATGCCTCTGGCTCCAAAATTCTCCTGGGGGCCAGGGCAGAGTSTGAGGCTGGTTGGCAGCATGGCAGGAGGAGCCAGGGGCAGCTGCCAAGGGCTCRGGGGCTCGCTTGCGAGGGCTTGTTTGTGGCACATTCTCCTTGCCAGGGCTCAGCTCAGACCTTGGAGCTCATTTCCTAGGAAAAATGCCATGAAAAGGGTCTTCTTGTCTTATTTTCCTTTTACTGGTTGCTGGAGGTTTARGGATAGGGGCGCTCGGGGGTGCTGGGGAAATGCTCAGGAGGGTAGAAAATGCTTGGCTGGACATTTGTGCCAAGGCACCTYGAGCTGCAGTTTATCCAACAGAGTCCAAGGCTCTCTAATCCTGCAYTTTAACAGCCCCAGGTGAGGTTCTCCTGCCGTGGGACCAGGGAGCTTTAATGAACAGGTTGCTTTTACAGTACGAGGTTAAAGGAGATGGGTCCCTTGAGGAGTCTTTGTCCCAGGGCACGGTCACCCTCCGAGGGAGGGCAGCCTGCAGTGGGACCTGCTGTGCAAAACGGTAACAGAGGAGTGTCTTAAATAACAGGAATAAACAGGACCACGGAGGTTGAATAAATCCCTCCCTTTGCGGGCAGAGTTTGGGGTCAAGGGGCCGGGGAGCGTTTTGCCGGCCGATCCCACTGACTGCTGGGCTGTGCTCCACTCTAGCCAGCTCCCCTTTTCCAGCTTTTCAGCAGATCGGAGGTTACCACAACCTGGAAGGGGCCTATTTGAAGGCCGTGCCGTCCAAGACCGTTCCCAACACCACCTGCCACCTGCCCAGAGCGGACGCCATGCACCTCTTCCGAGACCCGCTGTCCGGAGATCTGCCCTGGACCGGGATGACCTTCGGGCTGTCCATCATGGCCACGTGGTACTGGTGCACCGACCAGGTAAATGGAAACGAGAACCCCCTGCCCCAAGGATTGCAACGGTGCCGGGCTCCGCCAGCTCTGCGAGGCCACCGTCACCAGCACCTACTGGTCCTTCTGGCCAGTGGCCTCAGGGGGCTGCTTTTTGGAGTCCACAGAGGTGCTCGGGGCCCCTGCCACCTTGTTCTTGAGGTGCTTGGACTGGGACAGTTTGGAGAGCGGGATGCCCARGGGTGTCCTCATCTCCTCGGCTGGCTTCTGGCTCTCGGGCAGGGAGGTGAAGCGTTTGCCCGACGCTCTGGGCTTGTTTGGGGACAGGTGGCCGGGGGCCGTGGGCTTGCTGGGGCTGAAGGCTTTGCTCTGCCAGTAGGGCTGGCTGCCTGCAATGGTCTTTTTGGGTTCTGCTCCGTCCCCTCCGTATTTGGTGGCCCCGAGGGCTCTGTCGTGCGTCGGGGAGCAGGAGACCTCGCTGCCCTGCTCCCTGCCCGCCGGGGTCCTGGGCCGGTAGCGGAAGATGTGCGTCCCCTGTTCGGGAGAGAGCAGGGAGAGGGTGAGCTCTGGCTGTGGGAAGGATGCTGCTCCCTGCAAGGACACCCCTTCACCTTCCCATGCCACAGGGACCTGCTCCTCATGGACAAACCCCTCAGTGCCCTGCCCAAATTCAGCGGCAGCTCAAAACTTTCTCAAGTCTTAACCACGGCTGCTGCTCTGATTTCTGCCTCTGGCACCAAACACTGGGGCTCTCCCAGCGCCTCAGCAACTGCTTCCCTGGCAGGCTGCAGGCTGTCCCGAGCCAAATCCCTCCTGTCTGGRAATCCAGGACAAGATATCTCCACCCCTCCTCTCCAGCAGCAGCCTGAACAGCCATTTCAATCACCCAAACTCTCATGTCAGGCCCAAAGAACACTCGGCCACCCAGAGCCAGCCTGTGGGATGAGTGACTGCCAGGATCAGATGAAAACAAGGAGGGTTGGGAGGGGGAGGTGGGATCAGGAGACAACAGAGAGCTGTGACCCCGCTGTGGGGGTGGCTCTCTCATTAGCTGGGTTGTGACACACGTTTGGAGCGGGTCTGAGCACCACAAATCTTAATTCTGACCTGGAGAAGGCCGTGAACACACGGCTGTGGTCACCAGATGTTTATCTGCCCTTTGGGTGTGCCCAGCCACGATTGCACCTGTGCAGAGGCACCAGGGCAGGTGGGATCTGGGGAGCCAAGGCGCTGGTGGCAGCAGGAGCTGGGGCCAGGAGGCTGCAGAGCTGGCTGTGCCAGCCTGCCCTGCCTCTGCCCTGACCCTCAGCTCGCTGTTCAGGCAGTGCCAGTGTCCCAGAGGCCACCCTGGCCCTGCAGCTGACAGTTTCCACTTTGACCAGGAGGGTTGTGTTAAAGCAGGTTAGCTTAGGTAGGCTGAGATTGATTTAATTGGGTGCTTAAATTTGGTGCTAAGGTCTGAGATGGCTTCAGGTTGGCAGGATTAAGGATGGCTGAGTTTTKCTGCCTCTGAGCTGTGTGGTGGGTCCTTCACTCCTGATGTTCTCCTGGCTCTCGGGAAGAAGTTCAACCATGGCTTTCCCAAATATCCCACCCCAGGAACTGGCACCCTGCCCCTCCTGCCCACCAGCAGAAMGAGCCAGTGCTCRCTCWGGAGCRYCTGGATCCTGCTGGGTGCTGAGCAYTCCTCTGGAAGCCTTTGCAGAGACTCTGAGCTCTTTTAAATCAACAATTCCTATTGATATTGTCTATTTAGAGGGATTGCCTCAAAACCCCAGCAGTGGCTGTGCTGTGGATGGACACRGCTTGGCCAGAGCACTGAGGTGCCATGGTTTGAGTGGAGCTGTGGGAAGAGGAGGAGGCTGGACTCGGTTTCCATGTCATTGTGGGCACTCTTTGGGGAGGAGATCGGGTGGAAGGGGCAAGAGCAGGGGGATGGAGGTGGGGAATGGTTGATGCTGGCAGGARGATGTGCTGCTGTGGTTGCACTGGGCTTTTTTTGGTGCTGTRGGGTAACCCCAAACCGTTACTGGCCTGGAGAGGAACCCTACTGTGGGCTGGGTCCATGTCCATACCACATTTGGGCCCGAGGCCCAGTGGCTCCAGCATTTGGGATGCAGTCTGGCTGATGTGGAGCAGATGCTGGTGCTGCCCAGCCCTCCCGCCTGGCTCTCCGCAGGTCATCGTCCAGCGGTCACTCTCGGCTAAAAACCTGAGCCACGCCAAGGCCGGCTCCATCCTGGCCAGCTACCTGAAGATGCTGCCCCTGTTCCTCATCATCATGCCAGGGATGATCAGCAGGGTSCTGTTCCCAGGTAAGGGCCAGCTGTGGAGCTGGTGGGGTGAGAATTTAATCCATCACTGAGGGATGAATGGGAGGGGGCTTGTCTGGAAAGCCCTGCTCTGCACAGACCTGGGGGCTGTATGGGTGGGAGAGGGACAGGAGGGACCTTGAGCYCTCCTTGAGCCTGCATCCAGGTGTGGATGGGGTTGTGTATTTAGGGAAGGTGATTTCCAGAAAAAATCTGGGAGAGAARTTGGTTTCCATGAGATGGAAAACACGATGTGTGCCCCGAGTAAACCTACACCTATGCTTTGGACTAGGCTGGGTAATGGGTCAGCAYTTATGAAATGTGGACCCAGAAAAGAATATTTGGGAGGATTGATGGTGATTCCTGTGAGATTTGACTTTTCTAGAGTTAATTGAGGGTTGCATAATTTTATTATTTTTACACATGGGAGAAACTCTCCCCTGCACCTCTCCGCCAGCTGAGTGCTGTCTTTCCTAACCCTGGTGCTGTGCTAATTGTCTGCCTCTCATCAAAGGGGCCAGAACAAGTTACTGCAGCAGCACCAGAGTAGCCAGCCATCCCCAGCGAGGTGGCACCTGGCACCTGGGTCACAGAGCATCAAAGAGYTCGGTGCTCCTTGCCCTGCAGGGCTCGGGGGTATTTGATGTGCCAGGATTAAAGCTCTGAGCTCCCTGTTGCTGGCTGGGAAGGGAGAAGCCAGTGGACTCTGGGATAGTGAATTTAATTCCCTGTAAATACAGATTAGATGCTCAGCCGGGGTAACCTCAGGCAGTTTCAGTGATTTCAGCTGCTGGTTTTGCCCTGGGGGTTTGAATGCCCCAAAAACAGTGGGCGGGGAGCCTTGAGAAACCAAAATGCTTGGCAGAGGCTTAAGAGTTGCGGCGCTTGGGTGGATGACGGTGTCACCACCCCTGCCTGGACGGGCTGGTGCTCTGGCCGTGGTGGGGACGGTGGTGTGGGACACTGGCGTGGCCCTGTGCTCCCAGCCAGCAGTGGGATTGTGGCTCTCACCCCAGGGAATTGCAGCAGGGTGCCAGCCCTGTGCGGTGACAAGGAGTGGCGTCACCTGTGGATCAGCCACAAAGCTGCTGACGGTGGCACTCGCCCACGGAGGTTGCTGTCCCTGTTCCTCCGCTCTCTTGCTCTGCCTAATGACGTGTCGGAGCGCTTTCCCTTTGATGCAAACACGCCTGGGATGGGCACGCCTGCCCGCACAGTCTGTCCCTGGCTGGGYGTGATGCCRCTGYKGCTGGAGCTCAGCCAGTCCCAGCACATCTGGGCAGCTGTGCCAGGAGCTGCTGGCTCCATCCCCAACCCAGTGGGGTAATSTTTAATTACCAAACCCTCCCCTTGAACAGCCGCCCCATTGCTGGACACCAAGRGCTGCTGCACGGCCACCACCTCCTTGGTCACCTCTTGGGTGACTGCTACCGTGGCCACGTGCAGGGTGTGATTCTCCTGTGTGGGAAGTGTGATCTCAGCACCCAGAACAACACCACATGCYGGGATGACCCCAAAACACAGGATGACACCACCTTGGCTGAGCTGGCCGGGTCACCTCCAGGTTTGCAGCCTTTGCAGGGTGGAGAAACGTGAGGTTGTAGCCAAGTGTCCTACCTGGGCGGCACTGCTGGGGTAGGAGCTGTTGCCATCCAGGAGGGAGCGGGGCAGCATGGGCCTGATCTCCACGGCGTTGCTCCTCCTCCTGTTCATCTCCTCCATGCGGAGGTGCTTCAGGGACGGGAGGCTGCCCAGGGGGCTGATGAAGGTACCCCGGCTGATGTGAGGGTCACTGAGCTTCCTCTGCATGGGGATGATCTCCCCGTTGTGGGTGACGTCCGAGTTGGTTCTCCGGAGGGGCCCGTAGCGATCCCTCACCTCGAAGTACTCGTCTGAGATGGAGGAGGCGTTGGAGCGGCGGTAGCTGTGGTCAGCAGAGCTGCTGGAGTAGCTCTCCTGGTCACTCAGGGTGATGTACTCCTCCTCCTCCTCCTCCTCCTCTTCTCCMAGCCCGTTGTGGGCGCAGGGAGGCCCTTTGTCCTCCTGTGGAGCTGCCACTGGCCGGTCTGGCTGGACATGGCAGGTGTCCATCGAGGCTCTGTTGGGTTTCTCCTCCCGGTTCTGTTTCACGCYCGTGTGGCCGGCCAGCGGTGGCTGCGTGTCACCCTCCAGGGCAGTGCTGCCRTCACAAGCTGTAATGACTTTGGTCTTGAGGACACCGACAGGGACAGTCCTGGGCTTTGGAACTGGAGGCCTGACCTCCTGCAATGTCTCCTCCTGTGGCTTCGGGTGGTGGCTCAGCGGTAAAGTGGCAAACGTCCCYGCTTGCCTCGTTGCCCAGCTGACTCCTTCGATAGGGCCGGTAATGGGGACTGCAGGAGCTTCCACAGGAGGCTGTGGGATCTGTCTCTGGCTGGGGGACAGCAGAGGTGGCTCCTGGTCTGAGTTCCTCCTGGCCTCCATCTCCCTGTTCTTCAGCATCTGCCGGTGCTGGGCGCTGGCCTGCGAGACGTCGCAGACTTTGATGCGGTTCATCTGCGACAGCTTCACGTTCTTCACCTTGGGGTCRATGATGTTGATGTAGCCCAGCACTTCACTGCCAGGCTCGGGGTCGGGCTCCACCCATGTGGGCAGGTAGTCAAACATGTTGGCTTTCTCCAGGTTCAGGAGGCCGGGGTGGATGAGCAGGGACAGGTCTGCCATGTCGCCGTGCCGGTCGCCGCCCTGGCCCTCAGGAGGCGTTTTGCCTTTGTTGTCCGTCTTCGGGGTTTTGTCCTGGTTCTCAGACGAGGTCTTGCTGATCTGGTCGGCGCTCTTGGCCTTCACCAGAGCGTACTTGGGGTTGATCAGCTTCTTCACCACGGCGTTGGCGGGGGTCACCGGCACCACCGAGGGCAGCGTCACGGGCTCGGGTTCGGGCTCTTCGCCCACGGAGATGGATTTGAGGCTCACCCCCTTGGACATGAGGTAGAGCTCCTGGAACTGCTTGTCGAACGCCTCCACCACCTGGCCCGACAGCACCGTGATGACRTTTCGGTCCGTCCTTGCCGCGGACCAGGTGAAGCTGGAACAGAAACACATCGTAAATAACACACTGCTCTCCTGCCCTGGCCTTCCCTCAGGGGCTGATGGTGCCAGCAGGGACGTGATCTCACTGTAAACATTAATAATTATAATGATGGGATTGACAAAATGGCTCTTGTCCCAAATTAGAGTGAAGGGTTGAAGTCGTGAGCGTGGTGGGACTTGAAATAAAAATAAAAGGTATTTGCAGTGGGCCAGTTAGTTTTTCACTTTGGCATTGCTGCTTTTCCCTTCTCAGTTTGGGCTAGTTAGGAAAAGTGAGTAATAAGTGGATGTGATTTGTTATGGTCAGAAAGGAGGAAAAGTTTCAGCTCCRTGTTTATAAAACTTGTCTTTTAGACCTGAAACCTGACCAGGGCTGGTCTGTTTCTACCAAAGYAGGTTTTCCTCTGAACAAACTGAGAAACACTTTGTGTAGGAAATTGGCTGGAAAAGCTGAGGTTGATGTGAGAATTTGGACTGGCTGTGGTTTGGTGCTTTGGGCTCATCAAAGCCCAGGGCTTTTCACCCACCGAAACGCTCGGTGTGTCCCACCACCTCTGAGAAAGGTGGGGTCCTGGACCTGATGGGAACCCCTTGGGGACCATTCCAAATCTCGTTGGAAAATCATCTCCTGGCTTAGGGATCTGGCACAAGGTCCTGAGGCCTTGGACCACGTGGGTTTGCATTGATCCTTTGGCCAACACCTCCACGGGGTGGGCAAGAGGAGACACCGCTGATTTACCTGTAGGATCCACACATGGCTCGATCCCCATCCACGAACATGAACTTCTGGGCCAAAGCCCCCTTGAACTTGGTGGCCGAACGGGTGAAGAACTCGGTCCCTCCGGTGCTGCGGACGCGCAGGTTCTGCAAGGCAAAGGCAGAGGTGTGAGCAGGAACGAGGAACTGCTGAGAGGACATCGCCCACCCCTCCAAAAACGCCTCTCTGGAAGCTCCACGGCCCCTCCAAGGAGTGGGAATGCTCTTCATGGCCAGCTCAGAGGAGGCCACAGCGCTGGGGAGATAAAATAACTCGCCCAAAGCCACGCAGTGAACCACAGACTCGGCTTGGGGAGTTTCCTGCTTTGCCCCATGCCTGGCTGTGTTTGCCATCTCTGGAGCTCGGTGCTGCCCATGCCCGTGGGCGAATGCCATGTGGTGCCAAGCGCTCCCCAGCTCCTGCAATCCATGCAAATGCCAAATGGGAGAGGAGGTTCCACCCCTGCTCCCAGCAGGGGCTGTGCAGAGGGTTTTAGGGACAGGTGGTGACCCTGGGACAGCCCATGTGGGTCTGCTGGCTGTGGGGTTGTCCTCCAGCACGCTCCCCTTTTGCTGCACTCCTAAATTTGAGCATCTAGTCCTGCTTCCAGGGATTGGTGGGAAATCAGGCAGTGGGGCAATATCTTTTTACCCTCAGGAAATGAAACCCGGTAATATGGGAGCAGATCCCTGAGGAATGGAGTAGGGTGTCCTTCCCCAGGGAACTCAGAGATGGAGAGACAGCCCTGGCTCTGTGAAATTTTATTTTTTTTTTAATCTCCAGTCTGGCTCCTGTCTCTGGTGTCTTCATGGAGGGCACTGGCACATTCCGTAGCAGAGCAGATAGCATCTTCCATGACAAATGGGCTCCTTTTGGGTGGGGAAGAAATATTTTCTTGTGAAAGCACCTGCATTCCTCCTGCTCCTGCTGAGATGTCAGCAATGCTGTTCCTGAAGGYTCTGTGTCATCACTGGGTCATGCCCTTTGTGGCTGTTTTTCTGTGTGTTTTGTTTCATTTTTTAAAAAGAAAAGCATCAAAAACATTTGTCTTCCCCTCCTCCAGCCTTCCTCATGTGCTTCCCTGGGCTCTCCTCTCTCCCCGGAGACCACGGCTGGGCACAGCCCCAAACCCAGGTGCTCCCCCACACTTGGCAGGAAGATTCAATGCAGATGATGTGAAAGCAAAGGCTTTCCTGACAGTGTTTCCAGGGAAGTTCCATACACTGAATGGACAAGATTCGGGGGTTTTTTAGGGTTTTTTTTTAATGAATTTGATTTTTTTCATAGCGTTTTCCTTTCTGCCTGCTGTAGCTGGGGACAAGCTTGTTCTGAGCACCCCAATTTCTGTCAGCAGGCAGCGCCGGGTGTGCTGGGAGCTGGCTGGCAAGCAGGCTGGGATGGCAATTCCTGTCCCTGTGTTATCCCTACACATGGGGCTGCAGGCTGGGATGGCAATTCCTGTC